TAGGGCCCAGGGATGCTGCCTCTGAGAGACAAAATGTACAGAATCGCAGGTCGGGGAGACGATCCACGGCCGGATTCCCTACCGAAAAGGCGACGAGCCTGGGCCCCTGGAGCGCCGAGTTTGTGATGCTGCTTTCAAAGTCAGGCTGTATCAGTTCGGATTGTGGGAGTATCTTGACCCTCAAGGTTCATTCCCGATCCGCCTCCTCCAAAGCCGCGGGACGCTCAGTAGGACTCAGCACAGGGTAGAAGGGCCACTTTGTGAGCCGGCCGCCGAGCTCAGCAAGCTCAGATGTTCAGCTCCATCAGCCCTATGACTCCTAGCAGCTTCTCGTATGTAGGAGCCACAGTCCCAGGTACGATGGGCCGTTGGCTGATCAGAACTACAAGGACCTGCACTCAGATCTATCGCATATGACGTCACGCGACTTCTGGATTCCTGAGTCTTTGTGCGACATTCCACTCGGAGGCCTCGAACGAGGATCCGGAGGACGTCTTCCAACCTGATGAAGACATGCTAGAGGTGGGCCTTCCAGCAGTTCGCACCGCAATGACTGTAAGTTTGATCCCTCGCTGTTACCGGAAGGCTTGTTTGGAGTGCGACATCAACAAGCTGAAAGCTGCACTGGAGGACGGCCCTCCCGGCGTTTGTCCTTGACCTTGAGGCCCCCTTTCCGGCTTGACGAGAAGAGCAGTTCAAGAGCAGTTCAGGGGGTTCAACTTGGTTCATGGGTTTTAAGATCTTCCGGAGTACTGAATCCTTTGATGTGCGTTCGGTCTCAGAGCTTCGTAGCCAGGTGCCGATGTATCGCTGCCCAACCAGCCCTGGCAGTCACGTGGCCACCGTGGTTTCAGAATTTGGGATTCTAATGGGTCTGAAAGAGATGCGTGCAACTTGGTACGGAGCTTTGAACTCCGCCTTTGTCACCGAGGAACACGCCTCTCCACCTTGCAAACTGCCCGTGCTCTCTTGGGCCGTCGGATGGACTTGCATCGGCTAGGATACGAAGGAGGAGCTTGTGGTTTCGCAGGAAAGTGAGAGATTTTGACTATCAGGGTGGGATGTGCGCCTGGTCGAGGTACTTCTGGGATGCAGACCTCATGGCCAGGGAGAAGGAACCCTGCTCCCCTTCAGTCAGAGGCGAGCAAAGGCAAGCTTTAGCTCAGCCGCAGGCCCTGCGATTCGAGATGGCAGAGTACCTGGTGCCCGTTCCTCGGGGTGCTCTGCTTTTGATCCTATCCTTCCCGTTCTGGAGACGAGGCGCCAGGGGGCAGACATCGATGCTGAGAATATTTTCCGCTGCCGCGCCCCCGACGCTGGGGAGCGAAAGCTACCAATTGATCTTTCTGTCTGTCATTGTTCATCTGTCATTGTCTGCCTGTTTGTCTATCTGCCTCT